ATATTCTTTTGGGAAATGATTGTTCAGTTATGTCAAACCATTCCTTCATACTAGTTTTGCATTAATTCCCAATGAGTAAACACAAAGCATTAAYGACAAATTTGRARAGACCAATGGATCGCYRCACCACCCTGAAATGTAGCCAGCTTCCTTCAAATTTAACAGAGAAAACTGTCTGCAAATTAGTATGCTTTTGACCCACCTTGACATTTCTTTGAAAAGCCCAAGCCAGCTTAAGTGCTCTAAACTCTGTTAAAATAACAATAAAATGATATAAAATAACACTTCTAATTATTGGTGACCAGATGTTGACTATTTTAAAAGTGCAGTGTCAACCATTTGTAATCATTGTCAACTTTACATTTTAAATGAGGAAATATTATTGTAATATTTGCATAATCTTTTCAATGTGAACTTAAAGAATACCAGACAATTGAGGAACTCACCTCTAGTTTGTCTCGAAATGAGTCTACTTTAGACTTGATATCTTTGACAACAGACGGTGTCTCGCCATTTTCAATTAAAATCTTTTCTTCTAGTTTTTCTAACCTGTCAAATATATAATCGGATTAAAATATGTCCAATATTCTAATAAAGACAGATAATTTTATTGTGATTATATCATATTGAATATGAATAGAATTGATAGCATGAGTTTGATCCACTTATACTTGTCATGCCCACATCACATTGTGATATTACTGCTAACGGCAGAAAAGATCATGTGACCTTTCTGGGGTAAAGTCATACCTTTCCTCTAATGCTAGTAGTGTATGCTCATTATCTGTGAAAACAATACAGTGACACTTTTCAATATCTAATTCATATTCTTACATATAGGATGAATAAATGAATGAATGGATTAAGGAACAATGAAATGAATAAATGAAGAATGATATGTGAATGAAACGATGAACAATACAATAAATGGAAGGTTGCACAAATGAATGGACAAAAAAATGAAATGATAAATGAATAAGAGAATGGACAAATAACTTGATAAATGAATGGCTAAATGAATACATGGGTGATTAATTGAATTTAGAGAAGAGCAATGGAAGTGCAAACAAATAGATGAACAATTGGATGAGCAAATGAGAAATGAAAAAGTGAATGTATGAATAAATGAATGGATGGATAAACGAGAAGATGAATTACATGACTGAATCATCAAAACAACAATATGGATTGAAGCAGTGAAAATGACCTGGGGCAAAATTAACAAACATGGTACTGTAGATCTTGAATWAATAGCCATAATACAAAAACACAATAAAAACATCTGCTCTCTACGATATACACTTTTATGGTGATTACAATGAACGCAGATCCAAAACACYTGTCACTTGGTGATTAAACTTMACWMARRACCAAYCCTTACAATATTAATGTAATCATACTACTGCTTACTGAGGCCATTAGGTTTAGGATATTGCATTTAGTCTGGTGAGGAGTTTTATACTCCAGTAATATTACTATCAATGTTCATATTGACACTTTGAAAACCAATACTTTAAAATGACTTACATCCAAACTACTTATATTAGTTTGCATAATGTATGTTCAATGTTTATTACATTGTCAATAATTTTTCATTATAAAAGACTGCCTATATACACAATAATATTTCATTGCAGATGGTGTAATTAGATAAATAAGACATGCCTCATATATTCATCGTTGTATAGATTTTAGTCAACGCATGATATGGCTATTATCAAKATGGTTTTAGCCAGCATTTCTACTTAATTGCATCCCTTGCTGTTTCATTTTCCCCCATGCTATGCTTGTTTCACCACTATTCTTTTAAATGTATGAATTATTTTGTCGATTTCCTTCAGTTTACGCCTGACTGATATAGATAAATATATCCTTTATAAACAAGGCATAATTTCTGACTCCTAACAATAATGCTGACAGGGATGAAAGCCATTAGAGTGCCTTTACGTCATGCAATACTAAATGTGTAGGTTTTCATGAATTAGCTTGATTGACAGGAACTTTGTGTCTTAAATATTTTGTACAAATCCTTTAAAGAATGCACCATCTACATTTCAAAGGATTAACACCTTGTATTGTTTGAATATCATTTTTGAATATCCGAGTATTATCAATGGTGATTAAGATTGAGATATAAACAAAATTGATAGAATGAACCCCTGCCGTGATAGTACATTGCAAAAAGAAAATACATCACTCTGAAAAATAGTAACTCATCATCACCTACCATGAGCCAATGAAGCAAGGCAGGCTGAGCCAACTCGTTWTAATGAGTATTTTAATTAGTTATGTTCTGATCCACAGGTAAACAGACTGATGAGACATAACTCATACATGAATAAAAAGATCAGGGCTAGAATACTGACTTGGTAATTTTTTGATTGGTTTTAAGGTTTAAACTTACATTTATAAAGTAAAAAAGAGAGTAAGGTTTGATTTAGATTATAAGTACAATACTGCAATACTCAAGGGATGGATTTTGACATATTTTCAGCTTAAAAACTCATCATGTTGTAATCATAATTTGTCATTTAGGTTTTAAGATATCACACTGTTTCTTTGTAAACATTCCAAGTAAAGCACTTTGTGATTTCTATAGCACTACAGTACTCAAGATCACTCAAAGAAGTAGGAATGACAGGCTGTTTCAGTACAGTCGAAATTATTATTATTTTTTTACATCATTGGTTTTTCGATTTTATGAGATCAAAGGTTATTTACAAGTCATCATAGTTGATCATATCGATTTTTTTCAGAGGTAATTAAAAACATCACCAGTGGAAATTTGGCTGAGAAATTCGAAACGTTCTAGAACCAATCATCAGATGATTGTACAATAAATTATCCTTATATCATGTGGAGATTTTGATGAAAAATTCGAAACGTTGATGAACCAATGAAAGGGCATGAGATGTTGATGATAATACAATACATTTATATCAGAACATCATTGGAGTTTTGATGAAAGATTCGAAACATTATCGAATCAATGTTAAGAGATGTCAAGACATCGTAAAGATGTTGGTGATAGTATTATATTGAGATAAGGGTGAAGATCTGCGAATGTTGTGCTTTCAAAACAACGTGATATTTATAATTCAAACCATAATAGCGCACCAATATCAAAATGTTTTATTCGACTTTTACACGGAACAACAAAAAAATTAGGAATAAATGTTGAAGCTTATTCAATAAATTTTGTAATTTGTTCCGTGTCAGGAAAATCATAATCAGACGGTAATTAATGGAGTAACTTACTAGTACACTAGTCTAAACACAAAGTTATGTACCAAGAACACGTTTTCAAAAGATCAACCATTCGAGAATTCCTGATCACATACTGTAGTTACTCTTCGACGTCAATTAGATCAAAGATTCTAGAATTTCCGATCGCACACTGCACGCTGAATAGACTATCCATAGAAATGAGCAAAAGTGCTTGAATAGTTACTGTTAACTCCATATTCCGGATATCAAACTCTCCAATGATCAAAGATTCTAGAATTCTCTTACCGCACACTCCACATGCCGGACAGTTGGTCGCGACGGCCTCAAGTCTATAGCGCGTTTCAGGCGAGTTTTCTTGTAGTTTGCCCGAGATATTCACGATATTTCCCTTAATGTTGTACAGTTTAAGAATGTCGTTCGGACCCGCTTCAGCCGCACATCGAAACAGGTCTGAGAACAGAAGAATATCAAAAGAAACTATTAAATGTGTATTATCGAGAAAATAAGTTCATACAATAATTGCCCGTAAAGGGCAATGCATCAAATAAATAACAAAACAAAGACTACTACGTTTTATAAGTATTTACAAATACCATGAAATTGACTACCTTTCACATCTTCCGTCGGTATATCCGAGCTGATTTCGGCTTGTTCGTCCCTGTCTCCGACCTTAAAGTAGATTACCTTCGATGTCATTCTATTCAATTCTCTGGCTCGTCAACTAGAGTAAAATCGAAGCAATAACTCCATAATGTAAGTCGTTGACCTGGACCCCATGACAAGCTTGATCAAACGTTCGAAATGCACACAGTTTGTTGTTTACATGATTATTTCCTCGTTCATCCGCGCGGTACCTCGGCAACGGCGACCGCGAAAATAAAGACAGCGGTTAATTACATAACAAATTTTGATTAGAGTTCGTCACTTTTTGATCGCATGTTCTAGAATGATGATTAACTGACTTTTTAACTTTACCTGAATTCTACCACGGATTTGTTTCTAGAGAGAAATTCTCATCCATCCATCCATTCACTGATCCATCCATCCATTCATTCATTTATATTTTATATTTTTTTCTTTTTATTTACTTACAATCAGTGCTCTATCTTCATGTTTCTTTAATTTCATTTATTTTTCATTCGTTCAATTCCGTTTGTTGGCACAGTTTTTAAAACGTCATGACAGGCTGCTTATTGGAATTTGTTTGTTGGCATGTCTTTAGTGACATGCCGCATTTTAGCATTTCAGATGCCAGATTTCTGTTCAGTTCAATGTACTGTTTTGTTTTTATTACTTTCGGTGTTTTTAGAATTCCTTTGATCATGTTTTTGACAGCAGATTGTCATTCTCAGCATGTCAAGACGTCGACTTTGCGACGCCTTCTCATTAAATTCCCATCTCGTGGAAAATCCATTTATTTCAATTTCTGATATTGACTGGTTTGAGATTTTCAGTCAAGGCTCAATACGAAGTGTCAAAAATGATTAAAAACTCTCATCGATAAAAACGTTTCTAAGAATAGCWTTAATTAGAATGTTTTCTTGTTGCTAAGATAGAATCTGGATTCCCTGTGTAAAATAATTTGCGCGGAGACTGGGAACGGTCACGCAATCACAATAAAAYACCAAAAACTTCGAATTTTCTACGATTTTGGTACTKTCATAATGCTAGACTTACTAGGTCATGTTATTCACATTATATAAAGGGAATTTCATAAGTATTAATGTTTTTTTTAAGAGACTAAGGTAAGAAAATGGATAACGTCAATTTTCCATTTAAGTAAATGGTTGATTAGATGAAGTCATTTGTTTGTTTGTATTTAATTTTCCTGTTTTTAATATAGGGCTTTGTGTTTCCTACAAGAATGATTCCAGGGTTCAGAAAAGCAAGTCTCTCTGGTAAGTATTTTTTCTTTATCAAAGTCTAACATACTGTGATCTTGTTTTCTCAAACTGTCTTCAATAAGTGAATTTTCATACTGAACTTTGGAATATCCCATCCATACAGTCATGATAGAAATCAATGGTACTTTTTAGCTTTACAACAAATATCTGCTGTGTTGGGACATTAAAATATGGCCACAATAATTTAATAATGATTTGATAGATTGTAATGATATTTGAATACAGAGACACCTGATGAACGTGCAATGAACAAAGAGACGAAGAGAAGACTTATCAATGAATTATCAAACACTGTCAAAGAGGTAAAGATAGTGGGATTTCATATCAAATACTGTGATATTTCTGGTTGATGAGGGACGTCATGGTGTTGATCGTTTTCACCCATTCCCATGAGATTCAAAAGATAAAAGACTGGCGGCCATGTTGGAGGAATGAACAATAGATACTAATAAGAAATCCTTTATTTAAGTTCCTCTAAGATGGCCACTGTGATGTAACCTGAAAATGAAGAAACGGTTTTGTATGTTAACAGCAGTTACGGCTTTCTTCATTTAATGAAATCCGCTGCAGCTATTTTGTACTAATTTCAAAACATAGTTTGTACAAGTTTACAGCAATTTAAAAATTAATTGTTTTGCAGTTTTTATTTAAAAATTAATTGTATAAATATGTGGTTTGTATTTTTTTCTAGTTACAGAAAACACACTTAGATGAGGACTTGGACATAGACAAGTAAGTTGTCCTTCCTTCATGGGTTCCCTGTGGAGATGGCCCTGATCCTTCCCATGCTGCCCTGCAGTCTTGGCTTCCATGATATCTCATTTTGAACCTGACAGTGTTTTCTCAATTTATTGGGAAAGTTTAATGACTTTCTTCAGAGAGAGAATAAAACACTTAAATTGTTTTTGTTTTAGAAATGATGAGCATGCTTTAATGTTATGCACGTTGTTAGAAGCGGCTCTTCTACATGGATATCAAGACACTGGTATCAAAGTATGATTCTTTTCCCTTTTATTCATTCTTTCATTTCCTTTTTTAATTTTATTCATCCTTTCCTCTCCTATCTTTCCTATCCATTGTTCCTATTCATTCATTCATTTTCTCTGAAGTCCCTTTTAAAGTGTCATTCTATCCATCAATCTTTCTCTTTATTTCCCATTATTTCYTTCCATCCTTTCTGGCTYWCKTYCYTTYCCTTCGCATAACATAATTCTATTTCTCCAGATTTCATTTCTATTATTCCATGCATTTCATTCCCATCCATTTCAGATGTCCAATTTCTATAATCTTCTTGGAAAAATGTCACCAGCTGAGTCAATGCCAAACAATGTAAGTACTTTAGATTTCAATGCCAGTGATAGTGATTTTATAGTAGATGTGATTGTAGTAGGACCCTGGATTTACTAACAGTGTCTTTTGATCTTTAGTCATTTTGGAATCTTCTTGTGCATTTTATGCACAAAGATGTTAAGAAAGAACTAGAACATCTGTCACACATTACCACATCCATTGGACAGTGTAGAGTGAGTCAGCGCATTGTTAACATAATGTATGTTGATGTCATGAGAATTAGATCCTACAATCGGTTTCTTTCTTTCAGGCCTGGGTGCGGCTTGCTCTTAATGACTGCTTAATTGAAAGCTATTTGGATGCCATGCTATCTGATCACAATAAATTAAGGTATGATCATGTCTTCTTTTACTTTATCATCCTCCTATTTACTGTATTAGAATACAATGTAAATCCTTAATATGTGCAAATAAGTAATCACAGTTAGGTTATATTTTTGATCATAATAAGCAATGATAAGCAATGTTGACGCATTGTGATCATGTATAAATTCTAGAAGGCATTATGCGCAGTCATGTTGAGCGACATTATGAGTATGCATTCTACGATACATTTTTGAAATAAAATTAAGTGATTAGCGATGTTGACACATTGTGATCATGTATTCTAGAATGTATTANTGCTTGTGACATTAACAAGTTGCTTGACTCATCGTTGTTTGTTTGGTTGGTTGGTTGGTTGAGTGATCGATCTATTGAGATCCATATTTCTTAGGATTGATAGACTTCAAGTTCAACCTCAATTACAACACACCAAGTTTGAATACCTGGACAGGGGATACTTTGGTATTTGCTGGAATATGGCAGATGGCTAAAATGGCCAGTCATTCACAACCAAACACAACTAATTCTCAAGGTAAAGACTATCATTCATSAAACCATAGCTACCATGAAATTGAATTTCACATGTGAATATGTCTCCARTTATGTTAGTACCTCAATATCAAGCATCGCAGAGACCATCAAGTTCTGCAGCAATGGTACCTAACAATAAACCAGTAAATAGACCAATGTCAAGAGAGGAGTCCAGTGAGGTAGAAATAGCTAAAAGTGTACAAGAAAATGACGRCAATGATTTGGCCATTGGTGGGGATRATTCTGCCAGGAAACARGATGTGAMCATAGTRAGAACCATAGCAGAGAAYACTGAAAATACTCCAACAGGTATTATGCAAAAAAGCAAAGACGAGGTATATGAATGGGAAAATAAAACTTAAAATAGGCTAAAGAATAAGTAAATGGATGATCAGTTGGTTGAATGAATGAAAAATACAGAGTATCTGCATAACTATAGGGGTTCAACTATAGGATATTACATGTTCACATGGAGATCAAATTTTATCTTCTCATGCTGAAAATCACTTCAACACCCGAAGATAAAATCCATATCTYTGCGCGCCCATGTAATATCCTCTATAYATTACATGCTTTCGAGGTTAAGGCTGCACAAGTATGATCTCGAAACTGKWGTATTGAAAGTCTAGTTTACCAAAATCATCTTTATAAATAAAAATAGAGTTCATTGAAGAAAAACCTGCAAGAAGTCCCTCSYCTACAGACTTYACTGACAGCCATGAAGACAAACAACAAGTAGAAGACATTGACGACAAACCAAGGAGGTCCTCCCTGGACAAGCGTACTGCTGCTGTAAGCCCTGTRCCAATGCTAGGTAGTAATAAACTAGGCATCAGYACGGGGTGGTCTTCTGCCTTTGATACAGGTATTTATGCTTAGTATATTGTTTATATTGTGTCTACTTCAGGATCCCTGTCCCTGTAATAATATTTGATATTAAATACTTTTCTTATTTTTCAGACTCGTCAAACTACATTCAGTCATCTGAAGWAAGGACTCAAGAAATTCAACCTCTTTCACAAAAACAAACACCTTACAAAGAACACTCTAACAAGCAACCATCTCCAGGTCCAGAAACCTATAATTGCTTATTTAGTAATTACATGGTACAAGGAGCTGCTAGTTTTCATACATCGATGTATAACCAGGAAGATTCCAGGAAAAAAGTATGACCAACACTAAAATGCTATGTTTATTGGTTTATTGAATACCAAAGACAGTATTTAAAAATGATCATTGTTCTGCCTAGATATTAATTCCCAAGTTATTGGTTTATTGACTACCAAAGACAGCATTTAAAGATAAATTATTGTTCTGTCTAGATATCAATTCCCAAGGTTACAAGCCCAGATGATGAACCACACATGCGAGGTTTTGAAGTTGTGCCTCAAAGTTCTTCTGTCCATTCAGAGCATGCTGACGACAAAACACTAAATTTGATGTCAAATCTTACACACATAACTAAYGAACAAGGACTTGATCATCAAAACTACCAGTGCAATGGATGTGGTAGAAATATAGGTACTACTGCAATAGTAAATTGAATTAGATATTTAGTAGAAGATGGCCAGTGACTGTGATGTACATTGCAAGTGAATAATAAAACAGCTGATCCACCAAATCCGAAAACCTCATGCCCCTGTACTTGTTACATATGCTAGTTTACTGCTTACTTGGTTTATTATAACAGTGAAGTTTCTGAAACTGGGGCCACCTAGAGAATGTAAATTTAGCTTGAAAACAAGGCTTAAAAAACTTAAAAGCGATGGTCAGTGATATTGCAAAGAACTAAARCTTAATGAGATGTGGTTTCCTTAGTCTGAATCCTTTGTTTTCAATCTAAATTGTGGGATTTTATATTCTCTAGGTGGCCCCGGTTTCAGTTGCCGCACTGTAACATTTATTAGAATAAATAGTATTTTTATTATGGCTAAATATTGCCTTATTGATTGATTATCCAGGTATGATTTATGGAGAAGCAAAAGTCTGCAAATATGATTCCTGTTACTACTGTTATGAGTGTCATGTTGATGACGAACATGTCATTCCCGCTAGAATCATATACAACTGGGATTTAAGGAAACATAGCGTGTGCAGATCTACTAAACTATTTCTGTTACAAATTGAAGAAGAACCATTATTGAATATCGACGAAACAAATCCATCGCTATATGCAGTCATAGATGAATTACATGAAATWAGGGTATGGTGTCTGATTACTATCTAATGATTAAATAGATTGGGTGAATGAATGGATGGTAGAATGAATGAATAAACGAAGGAATAAATTGATGATTGGATTACTGAGAGATAAATGAATGAATATTTGTTTTGTTTATTATTCATAGATGTTACGCAAACAGCTTCAGCACTTGAAAGGTTTCCTATTCACATGTAAAGAACCAATAGCAGAGGAAGTTCGGAGAAGAATCTGGCCACGGGAATATCTTTGGGATGATATTCATCAATACTCTTTACTGGTAATATGAATTACTCATGATTTGATGAACAAGTGAATGAATGAAGAAATGAATGGGTGGATGGATGAACAAATGAATGGGTGGATGGATGAATTGATGGATCGGAAATATTGTTACGCATCTCCCTGCAACAGTATAGCATCTCTCAACAAATATTTGAGACTGTAATCCTTGAAGTATACAATGCTAATATATATTATTGTTTTCTGTTTATTAAGGATTTGATTCAGACAAGTACAGGACAACTAGCTCATCACATCAAGAAAATCATCTCTTACTGTAAGAAACATGTCTACAAATGTCAGGTAACTCTTCCCTACTAGTCTTTTCACTGTCKTTTGATTGAYGGCATTGTTGCTTGCTGGACGTGCCAGGACATGGTTGATTRACAGGTATTCTGTCATGATTTTTTGTTTGTTTGAATTTCAGCTCTGCTGTCAGAAAGGTTTTATCTGTGAATTCTGCAATGATCCTAAGATAATTTACCCGTTTCAAATCAATTCAACCACACARGTGAGTAACCCTCTATATACTGGGGTTCCTGTGGAATGAGGTCCCAGTCCTTTCAGTCCTCACAACACAGGACACCCAGTCATATGACACACTGCTTTCTATTCATAGTGTCCTCAGTGCAAAGCTGTTTTCCACAAGACATGTATCGCAGGTAGAAAATGTCCTAAGTGTGCACGCAGACAAAAACTACAAGCTGCCAAATCTATGGAATCTAACTTCAATTCTCCATGGGAATGATATATTTTTGCAATGCTTCGTTTAACGGGAAGTGCCATGGACCCTGCTGGTGTTGTCAATAATGAAGGAATGTCTGAGGATTTTCTTAAAATGCCTGAAAATATTGCTTCAAAATTAGGCTAGATTTTATCAGTTACAATCATTGGCTGACTAACATGAAGCCTGACTCCAACTTCAGTACTTTTKAACTTCTTTGTGTGAAAATTTAGTTTTTTTCTTTTATGGTCTCTCATCACCTTTTGTAAGTGCAGTAGATCATATACTTTCAATGAATTTTGCGCTATATGAGAATTAGAATTGTTATTATTGTCTGGCATCCAGAAAATTATTTAGTACATAAAGAATTGCAAAAACCTTGATAATTTATTATTGTAAAATATTTTAGTAATAAATACAAATCACCAAAAATCAAACAAAATATGATTAAACATTACAAATTCAGTGTTACTTTATATTATTGTTAGTTGTTG